ATAGTTGGCCCCAGTATCCACAACCCAATTAGGAGGACAAGGAGACGAGGATTGTTGAGCAGTCGTGGCAGGAAGGCGTTAAGTAGGCACCCGACCTACATATGACAAGTTGAGACGATTGTAGCAATCCAACAAAGAATGCCCATAACGTGCACAATCTAATTTTGTATAAATTTTGTTTTTTTATAAAAAAAAGTCAACAAAATAATTTAAAATAATTAATTGCTATTTATAAAATAATTTATGAAATGAGTAAAATATTTAAATATTTACCAAAGAAATAATACTTAAAACATAATTATTAATTAAGGTAATTAAGAAAGGTTAAGATATTACTTAATTACATATATTAAACTAATGAAGTTGGTAAAAAAAAAGTAAAAAAATTAATTTTATATGTTAAAAATTCAAAATTTTATTTTTTTTCTTTTTAAAAAAACCAAGAAAACCTCTCCAGACGAATGTTCATCGGACACACGCATGTATATCCTGGTGAAATTTGCTGAATAAGACCTCTCTCGACGAAATTTCGTCAGGAGAGATCTAATCCTTCAAATTTCTTCGGGATAGACCTGTGCCGACGAATAGTCGTCAGGAAAGGTTTAAAAAATTGGCCTAGGCGGCCTGGGCAGGTCAGGGCGACGCTAGGAGGGTCTGCGAGTCTAGGCGGCGCTAGGCAGTTCTAGGTGGCACTAGGCGGGTGTAGGTGGCGGTAGGTTGTGCTAGGCGGGTCTGGGCTGAGCTAGGCTGGTCTGGGTGCCAGGGTGGGTCTGTCGTATTTTTTCCAGGTACGTGTGCCATTTTCTTCTTTGAAGCCGATATTTCGAGCAAGAACTGTATCAGATGCACCACCTTTTGACCCCAGCAATATTGTGTCATTGCATACACATTTCTGCAGCCACTTTCTTTTATTCTATTCTTTCACTTCATTTTCTTCTATGTTTATTGATGGGATTCAAAATTATGGCAGCTCATGTTTAGCAAGTTTAAACTTCCTTTGAAATCTGCAGATTTTTCTTCCTTCTCTTCTTCCCTCTATAAATTAAATTGGCTTTGCTTCTGCTGAGCCACAGGCTGTTTCTGGGTTCTGCAGATTGTCCTTCTTTGACTGTAAGTTGCTATCTGATATCTTTATTACAATTTTTTTTTATATGATGAGTTACTTTGGCATCTTTAGTTTTGTCAGTTTATCAATTTTTTTATTTCTTTTTTATGTTATCCCACATAAGGAATAAGGCTATGGGGGTTTGAAGTTTCAATTTGGCATCTTTAATTTTGTCAGTTTGATTCAGACCTTGTGCTTAAAGATCTAATATAGGTCCTTGTATAGTCTGGGATTCTACTCATCAATGGATGACATTTTCACCCGTCTATTGACACTGGCTAGTTATATAAGGCGTCGATTTATTCAATTTATAGGTGAGGTTCTTTCTACTATTCTTACATGTATGCACACTCATGCATCTTATAATGTTATGGATGGATTTGGAAATGATGTTATTGCAGAGGATCTTGCGGTCAGAGATGCTGATATAGATACTCAGATGATTTGCTGGTCATTTCTGCTGGACAGCATTTAAGATCATTGAGACACGGCATTTGTCTTTCAACAGAATTTTCATTTCGCCTACTCAGTCTTTTCTCATAAGCTTCAAGAGAGCCCATTAATTCTATCACTGACAGACTAGTTAAATCTTTTGTCTGTTCAATGGCAGTAACTAAAGGATCATACTTATCAAGAAGACTTATAAGTATTTTTTCTACAATTCTTGAGTCATTAATATTTTCTCCATAGGCTCTCAATTGATTAATTATTATTTTTATTTTAACATAATAGTCTTGTGTGGTCTCAGAATCCTTCATTTTAATATTTTCGAACTCTCTTCTCATAGTTTGTAGTTTAACCGCACGTACCTTGGCATTGTCTTAAAATTCCTCCTTTAAGGTATTCCATGCTTCCCTTGCAGTTGTGGCTCCCATGATTTTTGAAAAAATCGTATCATGCAAGGCTTGTCGCAAGGCATATAAGGCCTTTGCATCTTTTTGTTGATCTTTCTTTAGTTGCCTCAACTGTTCCACAGTTGGGTTTTTTGGATTATTGAAGCCATTATCAACTATGTCCCATAAATCTTGAGACATAAAATAAGTCTTCATTTTAATACTCCAGAAGTCATAGTTTTCTCCCCTGAAAATAGGAAGAGGGTCAGAGTTTTGGCTAGTAGTAGACATGACGGAGGAGCAGTGAACCAACGCCCAAGGTTGATCGGAACAAGCTCTGATACCACTGTTAGGGCATGTTTACGTATCAATAATAAAGAAAGTAAGGAATAAGAGAATTTAGGAATCGGAGAACTACTAAATCGGTATGGGAAGAATAATTCACATTAAGCTGTTTACTAAACATATGGAATTAGCAAAGGAATGAGATTGATTCTCATTGTTATTGTTTACTAATTTGCAATGAATCAGAATCCAAATTAATTTTAGAATTATGGTAAAGTGGTAAGGTTACTTTTGGAAGTTATTAGGAGAAAACAGGAATGAGAATCGTATCGACTACTCCCCCTAGTTGATCTGATACCTAGTTTTGAGGGAATGTGATTACGGATTTTGAGGTGGGGCCCACTTATTTTTTCATTCCTGATTGCAAGTAAACGCAGGGAAAGTCAGGAATGTAAATCATTCCCTTTCCTTCCATACCCATTACTGATATGTAAACATGCCCTTAGTTGTAGGGAGAAGAGAGGCTTAGGATAATAGCTTGATGATGAATAGAAAGCTTTTGAAAAAGTAACAAGATAATTTTATTTTATTGATTAAAATAAGAAGGGTACAAGAGCTTTAGAGATAGTTGGATACAAGAGGTGGCTGATGGGGGTTTAGACAACTGGTAGTTTTTCAGCTTTCTTAACTCGAATACATAATTGGGTTGCTATAGCTATATATAGAGTAGCTAAACCGACTCAAAGGATGGTAAATATCTAGTGAAGTCGGTTATTGCATAGTAACCGAGTTCCAAAGTGTTTTCCAGCCACTAGTTATAATATAAGTCTAGAATTTTCTAGTTACAATACATTATATAATTAATAGGATGTTTCTAGTGTAGGGCTCAAATTTGACTTGTCATCTTTTCTCAATTTTTCTAAACTTTTCTATATTATTCTAGTTGAAGTGTGCATTATTTTTTATACAAATTTATAAATAAACCCAATCCTAGACATGTATTTATAAAAAAACCCAAACACTATTTAAACATAGAAACACACCCAAAATCAACAATTGTATATTTTTTGGGTGTGTTTATAAATGGGTTTTGAGTGTGTGTAATGATAGGTTTTGGGTGTGTTTATAAAGTGTTTTGGGTGTTGGGTTTTTTTTTATAATTTCAGCCCCCATTTTGGGTGTTTTAGTGAACCTCCCTATTTTTTAACACAATTATACAGATGTCCCCTTCATTTTTAAAGGGTAATACTGTTTTTTGCTACTAGCTTTCTTCAATATCAATCTTTGAAGACTTGAGTATGCATTAAAAAACTGAGGTCAGGCAACTAATCTAGTTTTCATGAGAAAACATCATGAGCCCGTCTACTTTTAAGTGAACTGAATGATTAATTGTAATATTTAATCTTTTTCACCTCCTTCCCTTTCTAATTACAAGTGTTTATCAGAAGTATGACTTACTGTAACTGTTTTGCATTTCTCAAATCTCAATCTAGTCATCTCCATTGTTAGATTGGTGATGTTGCTTGCTTCATCTTGATGTAGGTTGACACTACCATTACACGGTTTACAATTTGCTTGGAGATTGGCAATTTCGTGTTGGAGAAGTTCTGTCGTGTACGTTAGATGTGCTCATCTTCGAATTTGTAGGTAAAAGAAGTATATTTCAATTATGCAAACTGATGGACTCGTATTCCATAGAGTCTATGAATAGTTTCTTTTAGTTTTAGTTCAGATTGGATTCTATTTTACTCAGTGCAAATAATTCATTGCTTTTAATTACAAGTCATTGTTTCATTCTTTTAGGTGCTCATAGTTGAGCTTCATTTTTGCATTTGTCAGCCTGGCATCTCGAGTACAGAAAACATTGCAAGGTTCATCTGACAATATTGGATGGTTGCCGCGCACTCCTGGCATGCCTGGTGTGGAGGATGGTACAGCACTTTAATTATAAGTTGTATTGATCAAATCCATTCACGCATCCTAAACCAGACAAAACTGATTAATCAAATATTCTCCCTGATTTAGATGAGAGTGCTCAATGGAATCAAATTGTTACAACTTACAACCATTTTCACTTATCATTCTTTTTAAGTTGGGAATGCTGTTGAAATCTAAGACCGTGTCCATCGTGAGAGAGAGAGAGAGAGAGAGCATTAAGAATGGAACGTTTAATATAAATTGCTTGGCCTGAAAAGGCATTCAGGAAATTAGTCCTTGTATTAGTGAATATACAAAAAAAATCTGATTATGAATTACCAGTTTGTTACAGCACTGTACAACCAGTTGATTAGCAACAAACAAAGCAGTTAGAGACCAGCATCATCCTCCTCCACCTGTACACAGCAAAGTCCAAAACACATTATGTCAGGATTTGAAGAACACAGCAAACTAAATCCTTATTTTTGAAGAACACAGCAAACTAAATCCTTATTTGAAAACTCTATCTTCTTTTTTTTAATTTACACAGCAAACTAAATTCTTAAGAACACAGGAAAGATGACATCAAGGAAAATATTTTGAAGCATTTTCAAATGGAACTTTTTCCATTTACCTAAATTCTTTTTATATTACTTGGTTTCGGTTTTGATGATTTGCTAGCAGTATCAGACACTACCATCCAATCAAAATTCACTTCTAATTGGGGATTTTTAATATAAATGGAGACATTAATAGACTTTTCAAGGGGCACCTACTGCATCTGGCCCAAAATAATAGCAAATAAGGTCTGGTTCCATATAGCAAGTGATTCAGCAACTTCAAAGATAAAAAGTGCATAAGCAAAAACATGTTTAAATGCAGGAGATCGAGCAAAATCAAGTGAAATGGCCTAAGGTTGCATGCACCCTATTAGTTAGTATTTCAGTACAAGATCATCAGACTAGGAAGGTTGATTCACTAGTGACCTGCTACATGACTGTGAAAACAGTGTAATCCAAATTCCACGCCAACCAAAAGCTCATTATCTTTCAATTTCGAACTAACTGAAGTCAGTTCCGGTACACCAACAGGTACCCTTCCAGGAGGTGGCATCCAGGGGTAGGCGCCAGGGAGCTAGGCGGCGTCTGGGCGCCTTCCTAGGCGGCCCTGGCGGCTCTAGGCGGCCCTAGGCGGGCCTAGGCGTCCCTTGGCGGCTCTAGGCGGGCCTAGGCGTCCCTTGGCGCTCTGGGCGGCTCTAGTAAGGTCTAGGCGGGTCTAGGCGGGTCTAGGAAGGTCTAGGCGGGTCTAGGCCGGCCTAGGCGGCTCTAGGAGGGTCTGGGCGGCCGTTTTGCCGTTGAGACGTGGACGAAGGGCGGTTGAAGTGCGCAGGATCCGCTGCTTGTGAGGAAGAAAGACAGAGAGAGGAAGGAGAAGGCGACGCTGGGAAGAAGAAGAAGATATCTGACCTAATTTGTATATTTGAAACATATAGCCGCTCGGCTATACTATTAATTTGATTTGAAGACCAAAAAACCAACAGTATACCCGAGCGGCTGTACTATTCATAGTAGAATAGTATAGCCGCCCGGCTGTACTATTCATTGGAATAAAATTCTTTTAAAACGGATTATCGCCGGCGCGCTATACTATTAATTTCATAGAAAAATAAAATAAAAAATGGGGTATCACCGCTCACGTGTACTCTTTTAATATGAGTTATCAGGAAGAGGGCGAATGCCAATGGTGAATGGATCAAGAAGGTGGAGGGTCACCTTGGACACTGCATGGTCAGTCAACCACAAAGCAACTCTACATATACAAATCTGTCATTACCTATACACAGGTAATATAATCTACGGATGAGTGAATAAATATGTATTTATTTCCACTAGTTGGCATTCATTAACTAAACCAACAGCCAGATTTACAATTCGTTTTGTTTTGTATTTGCTTTTTCATATTAGTTGTATTGTATCTTCAGACTTCACTAGTTTAGAGGCCAAAGACAGTGAAAAAGTAAACTAACAGGTCGATGCTCCCTTCAGCAAACAGAATTTTGTGGCTTTTTTACATGGACTAGGAGTTTCACCTTATTTTTGGTGATTGCCATTAATGATGTCAAGAAAACTGATCCATAATTACATGGATGAGTTTATTCTTTGGAATGGATGATGAACTGCATAGATCAAGTAAGAGGAGAGAAATTTGATAGGTGAAGAGAGAGAAGATAATAGATCACTAGAACATGTAATTTTGTCACACTGGTTTTAGATTTGATGATGCCGAAAAGAAACGAAGAAACGGAGGCCCAAAACATAAAATCAACAGAAAAACGAAAAACAAAACAGTGCAAATGCCTTAAAGAATCAGTGCTTCATAAAGTCCACATTTATCCTTGCGGAGCGGTGTAGATGAGAAAGTTTACTTCAGCCACACGATCGATTCTCCTTGTTCATTTTTGTATCAAGGAAAGTGCAAAAGGAAGATTGGGATAGCAGATTGGTTTCCTTGGACTTGTTGGGTCGTTTTTACCATATCTTGCGGTATAATATTTGTTACCAATAAGATCAGAGGGCCAAAGTTGAAATAATCCAATGTAC